GTGCCCCCCCCCCCCCAGGGGCAGGATCAGAATACCATTTGGAGAATGTATAAAATGTATACAGCATTAAGGAAGTATAAGATACAATACAACATAAGATTCTAAAATACAATTGAAACAAAGTCTATAAAATCTATAACTGGTACTGTACATCCAGTGCGTTCATGGTATAGATACAGTGGAGATACAATATTGTTACAGCTACATTGTGAACAAGATGTTATAGTACATGAGAGATTCTCAAGTTTATTGATACAGTTGATAGTAATAACACTGTTAAAATACAGTATCAAATGTGAAATGCTAGGTGTAAGTCTTTCTGGCCCAAAGGTCAGGAATTCCCGGGTTGAATTAAAGGCACCCAGAAAAGATATATACATACACATATAGATATAAATGTATACTAAAATAAACAATAAATGCAAGTATTAAATCATAGTACATTACAAAATAGCATAATCAATGCAGGAAATAGTGTTATTCAAAGTACTCTGCTTGTGTTACATTATAATTCAATAAGGGCCTGGTCTCAAAGTTACACAAATTTGTTAGAATTCTGTTACAAAGGTTACAAGGTATTTTGATTACAGACTACATAACCCATACAGTGCTTAAGACTCATTACAGAAAAATCTATCATAGAAAATATACATCAAGCATTAACTATAAATAAGAATGAAGCATAAAAGAATAAAGCATAATATTGCTTGTTAAAATAAGGTTTCATCCTGGCCCACTCACAATAGCAATCGCAAAAACCATTTGTCTTGCGGATTTTTTGTCCTGCGAGGCATTCATTCGTCTTGCAAGGCACCACTGTAGTAAGTTTGTAAGCTGTGGTCTGTATGCAAAAAGTGTCTGTATTTATTTGAATCTGTATCTGGGTCCAGCGCTCACTGACACTGGATGCAGCCCTCGGGTTTAATAAGAATATGTATCCTGGCCTGTAAATGAGTGAGGGTGGAGTCGATTCACAGGGACACTCTCAGCAACTCCATGTTCTCCAAGGAGATGCAGTGGGACTGAATTCACTCTTGCTTGGTTTATATCACAATCATCCTCATTATGAAATCCACATGGAAATGTCAGATACTGTACATAAATTGTTAGAGACTACCGCCTTTCTCTAGCAGAGGTTGGAATGACAGGAGGCTGCTGGCTATGTGCAGAAGTGGTGGGCGGGGGTTTGTGGAGCTGCGAAGGGAGATTTACAGCCTCCATCTGCATGGGAGCATTTTGTTTATGCTCAGGAATCTGGCACACACTGGAAGCTTCCACTTTAAAGTCTTTGGACT